CCCATGTGCAAGAGGCCAATCCACACACAAGAGTCAAGGTATTTGCTTTAATTCCCAGTTCTGCACAAAAAAAGGGAGGAGGGTGGTATTCCAAAAAGTATGGTGAGCTTCCTGAAATGCAAGTGCTACTTTTATACTCAAAACGTGAGAAAGAATTTTATCTCTAACATTATTCTATCACTAGCACACATGATTGGTCAACTAATCTCTTACTTCTATTTAAAGTGGAAATTCTCGAAAATTGCCCTACACATGCTCAAAGAGCGAGGGGCTTGTTGATATTAAGGGTTCCTCTACTCTGTGGGTGGGTATTATTAGTATGCTCATTGCTCGTTAACATATTCATATCGTGATTTGAATTACTCAGTGTTCACAAAGTGCTCAAGACAGTAATCAAGATAAGCTGTGGAGAGTGCTCCTTTCCATCCCTTTCATCTGTCTAGCAGGTGTCCTGCAGACCTGTCTCAAGGCCTGGCTCTTAACTACTTGGGGCTTGTTTTTCTCTAATTGGCATCTAGTTTTGTCTAATTCTTATTGTTTCACTGTTTTTATTCCGCATGTCCCTCATGTTCTTTTTCATGTGATTCCTCCCCCCTCCCCTCAATTTTACTCATTTCAATTAATAACTGACATCAGACAGACTAAAACTGAATATTCAAATGTCTTGTACAAGCTCCAATTATCAACCAAGTGTTATACAGATGGTGTGCTGTACACACCCAGAAAATTGTTTCCCAGATTTTCTAATCTGAAAATACAAACAAGAAAAAAATGGAAATGCAGAAACAAGATAAAGCCTATATAAAATGGTATATACAACACTTCTGTACATTTACTCTCTGGTGGCAAAACAATTACTGAAAGAAAACTGAATAAAAAGAAAATAATTTAGTATTATTAACTTTTACATAGGCACATGCCAGCAGACTTAATTCTAAGCATATCAAAAGGTATCCAACAGTAGAATAGGAGGGGGGAAAAATAATCAGTAGCTTATTCATCTGAAAATAGTAATTTCATTCATTTTTTCCCCTCTCTGCTGAAGCTACTATGAAAATAAAACTATGTAATAATGTACTTAAAAAAAAAATAATGTATCTAGAAGTAAACCCATGTTATCTCTCAGAGCATCTTCAACTACGTTTGTGTGGAAAACACAGAATATTACAACAATTTAACTGCAGCCACACCAGCAAATTGCATCATTTTGACTTATGAATAACTAATGCAAAATTTGCACAAAATCTGTGTAGGTTAGATCCCTGAGTAACTGGAAGCAAAAGCAGCCACTAAAACTTTGCACAGTGAGAAGGTTTTGAAAGGATCAGTAGTCAATTGAAGCAAGTCTCCAAAAAAAAAAAAAAAAAAAAAAAAGGCCCTGATCTGACAATATGATTTGGAGATAGCAAAGGAAGAACACTATTAAAGTTGTAACTACATGGGAGAAAAAGTTTCACTCCCAGTTTTAAAAAGCTTTAGTTTTA